CAAAAGAAGGAGATGTAGCTTTTGAGCAACAAAGAACAGTTCTCTTGAAGTCGGAGCAATTTCACCTTCGAGCAATAAAATCAACATTGACTTTTGATTTAACTTTTTTCAAGTAAGTATGTCTTCAGATCCTCTTGTTCATGATATCAAGAATAATTCTTCTAAATTTCATGATCCTTCTAAATTCGAGTTCAAGAAGAACCTACTCTATTTCAAATGACACCTATATGTTCCAGAAAGAAAAGCATGTTTACGTGTTCTTCAAGCTCTTCACGACTTTCCAACAGCAGGACATTTTGGATACAATAAGACTTTGGAGCTGATATCTAGGGATTTTTGGTGGCCTCAAATGTGGAAGGCAGTCAAAGATTTTATACAATCATGTAATCTATACCATAAATCCTTAACATAATGAGTAAATTTTTATTGTTTCCACTTGGACCTTATCATGTTCTCTAAATGTCTCCGCAAATGCTTCTAAAAAAGCTTCAAAGTTTCTCAACATTGAAGATCTCTTCTCAAATAAAGGAGCAAACCAAGATAAGGCTTGTTTTGAGAGCAACTTTCCAACTAAACCAATTCTTTATTATTTTGTTGGATAGCATTCAGGTTGTAAAAAAATTACAAATCAAATTTCCTTAACAAATCTTCAAAATTTGGTAATACCAAGTGAATGGAAAGGTGGCCATTCATGTTCAGATTCAAACAGCCAAAGTGCCGATTGATGCATAAAGAGCCACAGCTGATACATTACTAGAAGCAACATCCTACACACTTACAATTTCAGCAAAAGATGGCCATCTGGGAATCCACCACTGTTCTCAAAGCTGTGCATATCAGTTCTCGGCTTAGTCAACAGTGATTTGACAATGACTGGCCCTTCATCTAGTCGTTCTATGTATCACCGGGGCATTTTTGCTACACGCTGCTGTGCCCCCAGTGCGCGGCTTACCAGCAAGCATTTGAAAAAACTGAATCCAAAAACTACGTCCACCCAATTAGTGTCAATAGATTCATGCTAATTTCTTATGTAAGATTGAAGTGACCTCTTGTGCAATTGCTGCACCAACAATTATGAATTGTTGATTATTACTACCGCAACAAAAATTCTTTCATGAACACCTCTCTGATTCGAAACGGAAAGGAGTACTGATGTACTCCACCAAAAACAAGATCGTATTATGTAGAGAAGTTCATGAATGTTTTGGAATAGAGGAATTTTTTGTGAACAATAGGAACAAGAGATTTTGGCTCGTAAAAGCTAATAGCTTTTATTTGTGGGTTATATACTTTTGAAGCAATTACAAAAACATATCATGTCTGCCTTTGAAAACAGAAATTGTTATTCAACCTGAAAACACATGCAAGTACAGATTCTAAGAAAGAAGGTACATCTTCTTGATATTCCATATGATATAAGAAACACATGTAAACTAGCATTTGGAGCTTTGCATCAAATATAGTATATTTAAGCAAGGTATGGATGCATGGCAATGTAAAATTCAATGATTGTATATTGATAAAATACAATACAAAAAATGTAACTAATAATTATAAAAATAAACACTATACAAAAATTAAATCAAAACATAAAAAAGAATATGTTTAATCATATATGTTTATCTTTCATATTAAAAAAAATGATGATTGTTAATTTTTGTGCATCTATTTAAAAGGCAATGCATTCATTTATGTATATATGTATTCAATTATTATAAAAGCGCTCAAAATATTATTTTTTAAATTACCTTTGCCATCTTGTTATTCTCTTTCTTTACACTCTCTATTTCAAAACTTCTTTCTTTAGAAAAAAATAGTATTATTCTTATAATGGAAAAAATAAACAAATAAATAACTATAACAAGCCTCAATTTTAGATCCATAATCTTGGAGTGCTATGGTTAGCAATGGCTTAGAAAGTTAAAGTTTGATACTAGATTATTCAGCTAAGTATTAGAATATAATTTATTTTTGTAATAATTATTCAAAATAAAGTGTTTTAAATTATTTTAAATTATAAATAATATTTTTGTATAAAATTTAAATTTCTTAAGTATTTAAATAAATTAATATAATATATGATTATATTATCCAATAATTAAACATGATATATTAAAATATATGTATGTTATTTTTAATATTTTTAAATAAATTTTTAAATAACTAGAAATAAAATTATTCAAATGAGAGGGAAGAGATCTAGCATCCACATCAAAACAAAGAAGAGAGCGAGGAAATGGAAGTTTGATGCAAAGACAAAGAAAAGAAGGAGGAGATCTAGAATGCACATCAAGATAAAGAAGAGTGGGAAGAGATCCAAGATCCATGCTAAGACATAGAAGAGAGGAAAGAGATCCAAGATCCATGCCAAAACATAGAAGAGAGGGAGGGGATCCAAGATCCATGCCAAAACATAGAAGAGAGGGAGGGGATCCAAGATCCATGCCAAGACAAAGAAGAGAGGGAAGAGATCTGGGATCCACATCAACACAAAGAAGAGAAGGAGGAGATCTAAGATCCAAGCCAAGATAAGGAAGTGAAGGATGACATCAAGAATCTAGATCAAGACAAAGAAGAGAGAGAGGAGATCTATGCCAAGACAAAGAAGAGCGGGAAGAGATTTGGGATCCACATCAAGACAAAGAAGAGAGAGAAGAGATTAAAGATCCATGCCAAGACAAACAAGAGAGCGAAGAAATCCAAGATCCATGCCAAGATAAAAAAAAAAAGAGAGGAGATTTAAGATCCATACTAAGACAAAGAAGAGAGGGAGGAGATGCAAGATTGATGCGAAGACAAAAAAGAAAAGAAGGAGATCTGGAATCCACATCAAGACAAAGCAGAGAGGGAAGAGATCCAAGATCCACGCCAAGACAAAGAAGAGAGAGAGGAGATCCAAGATCCATGCCAAGACAAAGTAGAGAAGGAAGAGATCTGGGATCCACATCAACACAAAGAAGAGAAGGAGAAGATCTAAGATCCAGGCCAAGATAAAGAAGTGAAGGATGACATTAAGAATCTAGATCAAGACAAAGAAGAGAGGGAAGAGATTTGGGATCCACATCAAGACAAAGAAGATGGGAAGAAATCCAAGATCTATGTCAAGATAAAGAAGAGAGAGAGGAGATCAAAGATCCATGCCAAGACAAATAAGAGAGAGGAGATCCAAGATCCATATTCAGATAAAGAAGAGATGGAAGAGATCTAAAATCCACATGAAGACAAAGAAGAGGAGAAGGAGATGTAGGATCCACATGCAGACAAAGAAGAGAGGGTGGAGATCTAAGATCTACATGAAGCCAAAGAAGAGAAGAAGGAGATCTAAAATCCATGCCAAGACGAAGAAGAGAAGGAAGAGTCTTGGATCCACATCGAGACTTAATAGAAAGGAAGGAGATCTGTGATCCACATCGAGATAAAGAAGAGAAGGTGGAGATCTAAGATCCACATCAAGACAAAGAAGAGAGGAAGGAGATCTAAAATCCATGCCAAGACAAAGAAGAGAGGAAGGAGATCTAAAATCCATGCCAAGACAAAGAAGAAAGGGAAGAGTTCTTGAATCCACATTGAGTCATAGTAGAGAGGGAGAAGATTTAGGATCTACATCCATACAAAGAAGATAGGGAGGAGATCCAAGTTCTATTCTAAGACAAAGAAGAGAGGGAGGAGATCCAAAATCCATGCCAAGACAAAGCAGAGAGAAAGGAGATGCAAGACCTATATCAAGACAAAGAAGAGAGGGATGAGATCCAAGATTTATGCCAAGACAAAGAAGAAAGGGAGGAGATCCAAGATCCATGCCAAGACAAAGAAGAGAGGGAGGAGATCTGGAATCTACATCAAGATAAAGAAAAAAGGAAGGAGATCTAAGATTCATGCCAAGACAAAGACGAGAGGGAGGAGATCCAAGTTCCATGCCAAGACAAAGAAGAGAGGGAGGAGATCTGGAATCCCCATCAAGACAAAGAAGAGAGGGAAGATATCTGCGATCCATGCCAAGGCAATGAAGAAAAGGAAGAGATCTAGGATCTATGCTAAAGCAAGGAAGAAGAAGAAGAGATCTATGACCTATGCCAAGACAAAGAAGAAGGAGATGAGGGAATCAAGACTCATGCTGAGATAAAGAAGAAAAGAAAGAAAAGATCAAGAGTCATGTTAGGACAAAAAACAAATGAAGGAAGAGACTATGATTTCCATTAAGGTTAGAAAGAAAAGAAGATGGTCAAGGACCTTTGCTAGGAGAAAGAAAAAGAGATTTGAATCAATCAATCAAAGGCCTTGGATGTGTGTATAAATATAATGGATGTGCATATAACAATTTAAGAATGCTTATTGCTTAAACCTATAATAAAATATACAAAATATGTATGATACATGATTTATTTAATTTTTTTTATATTAATCTATATAAATATTCATTATTGTTGAATTCACTCCTTTTGTTTAAAAAAATCACTATTAAAAGAAATTAAGATAAAAATTCAAAAGTACATTAATAAATTTTTATGGTCATTTACCATAATACATTAAAAAAAAAAAAAAAAAAAAAAAAAAATCTTATTTGTATATTATTTTTATTCCATTGAAGATCATACATCTATTCAAACATCCATTTAAACATTCATCATTTAATAAAGAAGAGTATGACTTTATGTATTCATCCATTTATCACCTACACATCAATTCACATGACTATCCAAATTGTGATTTTTTCATTACACCTTGATAATTAACTGCAATGAATTAGTTCTAAAGCAAAGCAAAGAATCTAATTCTAGGACAATATCAAAATTAAAGAAAATCAAATCACATACATGTAAAAGTAAAAATAAAAAATCACAGGCAACTATAACAAATTGCAACAAAAGATATATAAAATGCAATCATACAAATCTTGTGGTATTGATTTATAGTATATTTTTAGGTTTTGTAAATAAAGATCTAAAAATTTATAATGCTGTCATACTATGCAACCAAAAATAATCATAAAACACTCGATCTTATATTTGAAGAAAAAAGACACTCTTTAATCCACAATAGTGTAAATTGTATAAGTCTTGATAGTAGATATTGAATTCAAATCTACACCCTCTTGTATTGTAGCCAAGATCCATGGAATCACTTAGCAAAATTGTCTCTCACAATTGATTATGTACATCATTGCAACGAACAAATAAATGTGCTTAATGCAGTAATAAAAAAAAGAAATAAGAATTGTAGAAGAGCTACTTAATAGATTGACTTATTTCTACCATGGTGTTTCTACGACAGATACAAGCGCTATCCAAGAGGAGAAAATAGATTGAGAGCAAGCACCATTCTCCTAATTTTGTTTGAGCAGATTCAGTTGCAGCCTGGCTTACTCGGCATAAATTTTGAAAATACGCGGAAACATGAACTTGTGACGGAAGCGTATGATGCTTGCTTAGAGCCGGTGACGTAGCTTCTGTTGCTCACCTACTCGAACTGTACTTGATAACTAAATGCTTTTTAAGGCATTCAATCTCTGAGTTTCAGACAATACACAGCAAGGTAAGATAGGAAAAGATTCAGTGACAATTGCGGTATGACGGAACGTCCAACTAAAATACTAGAAACCACATCAGATATCTATTATTCAGATTCAGAACAGAACAGAAAGTTTCATCCTAAAAATAATAACGGTCCACGCAAAGGGAAAACAGTTAACCAGATATATGTAGAGAAAAGTGGACTACATCCGCATTGCAGTGTTGGAAGGATTACAAACTCGCTCACCATCGCCGGCAATAGAAGAATGCTGCATAAGCTTTTGAACATGTGTTAAACTCGAGATGACAAGCCTACAACCATCCAGGACAGAAGCTTTAGAGGCATATACACGTTCCTACTGAATTACTGCTCTATCAACCCAACAACCTCCGTCCGAAGTGCACATTTTTCCAAAAGTGAACACTCACCAATCCCTGTTAACACTTGAGCGTGCATTCATCTTACGATTTCTCCAGTGACTGCTTATCTCGTAACAAGGATTCTCTATCCTTTCCACGTGTCCAAGATGACATCATCAAAGGCCGAACTATCACAACTGCACGATGCGGATGGCTGAATAAGAGAAAATCCTGACCAAGTTCTTGAGAGTTTACAAAGAAACAACTCAAAGTATTCACTGATTAAACAATAAACTACTACCCAAATTGACGCTCCAATTCTTTGCTGGACATTAATACGACTCCAATCTTCGTACTCTAGTCTTCATGCTCACATGCGTCATAGAACTAGTAAGACTTATTCGTTATTACCTTAAAGAATTCAGTTCATTGAAATAAAATTTCGACAGAGAAAATTTATAGAAGGATGGGCAAGAAAGAGAAGACTATGAAGAGAGTTCAAACACAAGATGTCATAGGATCAAGCTATGGAATAAACACCAACAATCAGCAACTACCGATAACCTCGATACTCAACCGAATACTCAGATTTACTATAAAAAAATTAAAATGCCCACTTACGAGCGAGATTGCTGTTGCAGAGCCTTCACAAACTTTTACATCACACGATTCTGCCAACTTGCGCGAAGAGTCCTGACCCATAGCAGCTTCTGCCAGACTGATCCAGCCTCTATCAGTGTCCAATTACCATCCTGACTTCCCCTTGGTCCTCGACAATGTCACAGAAATCGCATCTTCAGAAAATTTTTACTCAATTTCTCATTTCTAATTTTTAATACCTGCCGAAATGCACCCCACCATTAAGTGGTAAGAACAGTTAAGACTATGTGACTAGAGGTATTAGGCTTAACACGAAAAGTTGATAAGACACTATCCTTCGCATCAGGGGAAATTTATAGTCGTCGGAGCTGAAATCGTCAATTCAGAACACTGATGTACTCATCGCAATTATCAATATACAGCTAAATAACCCAATGACAACGATGATTACTGACCATTGCCAAAATTGAATTGCCTGTTGAATAACTTAACTGCTAGAACAATCCATGTCATAAATAAAACAGATTTCCATTCATAAACATAATTTCCCGCGTTTCGTAATCAGAAAAAACTGAGAGGTTACGATCCGCCATGATATCACAACCTTGATCATTTGCAACGTCCCACATTATTGCAAATATCGAGTTCACTGTTCAAAGAACAGCAAACACTCAAGCTGCTAGCTCTACAAAGTGACATGTGAGAAATCAACCTGAACGATGACAGCATCAATATTCACAAAAAGAAGCCATCAATGCAGTCGAAAGTTAAGTCACTAGACACCGTCGCGGACATAAAAACTTTCATACAGAATGCTACCTGTACTAGTTGGTCTCTTTAAATAATATCCTGATAGTTTATAGTATGATCATCCGCACTGTACATGTATTCAACAGATGTAAAATCACAGCAGATGGACACATGAATTTATCACAGAAGGAGATTCACCTATTACTTCCACCGGCTTCCACTGCGACTGCGGTGCATCTCCAATATTTGTCCAAAGTGGACCTGCTTCCATCCTTCACCAGTCTGAGCAAATATACTCTGCTTAGCATTATCTATGACCACACTCACAGCCCCAAAACTGTATACTTGAAGACCCTCATGCATACGCCCAGGTTTAGGAATGAACTGAACGTCGTTTTCTTGGGCGAAAGCCTCAGCAACTTCTTTTAAAGTCATCTCTGCTCCAGAATCATTCTCATCCATATCAAGAGCTGCATGCTGCTTTTGCGGTTGTACGTATGTAGCACCATGACCTTGTTGAGAATGGGCTTGCTGAGAAAGCTCAAGTATCCTCTGTTCTGCAACTCGAAGATATGTCAGTTTTTCCCGTGTTGCCTGTGGTATACTCGGTGTCGCCTCCATACCTTGGTTTATCAAGTCAAGTGCTGAACTAAGATGGTGCCGGATCTTCTCGTTGGCCACGAGTTCACTCGGCAGCAAGGACTTCCAACCCACAAACCATGCAGTAACCTCATCATAATCCGGACTTGCGCTTAGCCAGTGATGTAAAACCTGGTGCCACTTTGGAAAAAAATTTGCTTCCAAAATATTAATCATATGGTGCAAAGGAACGGCAGAGACCCATGCCATGACCCAGTGAAACTGATCTAAAATCTGTTTGGCAGGATTCAACACAAACTCCTGCATTGCCTGGATAAGCTTGGGCATTATCGAACGCACAATTAGCATCTCCCAGTTGGCAGGATCAAAAACAGTTTTCCAAGGGGAAAGAAGAGCTAGAGCAGAGGAATCCCCTGGGTGCCAATTAACTAACGCAACATTTAGCTTGTATCGAATAGGAACATAGAGTGGCTCCATTCGTGGACCTAGCCAAGGTAACCAAGGATGGAGCCATGCATGGATGGGAACTTCTTCAAGCCGAGGATCCCACGCATCCACCGCAGCAGTCAGCTTTGGCATAACAAGTCCTTCAAGAAGATTTTGTTTAACCCCTCCAGGAAGCACCTTATCCCAAGCCTCAAGAAATCTCAGCAGTGGCTCTGGATCTCGAGGTTGCCACGAGTTTGTCGTGGCCAAACGGATATGAGGAAATACAACCTCAAGAACTAGCTGGATGTAAGGCGAATTGTCAACATCTTGAAATATGGCATGATCGTGTGCTTCATTGCCCTGTAAGAGCTCCTGCCACGCAGCCATGGCCTCGATTCCATGCAGAGGTTGAAGGAGTGGTTGCCAGCCTCTAAAAAGGGCATTCATCATAGGCAAAGCCAAGGAAAGGGCTATGATGCCGACGCTAAATAACTTGTACTCATCTCGGTATGTGTGTTTGATTCTTGCAAACGCGCTGGCTAAACTTTCTAAAGTCATTCCCTCCATAGAAATTTGTCCCCGGATCTGTTCAAGAGAAGTCATCACAGCCTCTATGACGGCAATCTGCTTCCCCTGAGTGCTTACGACAGCTTCCAGTCGCTCCCTGTCTTTATTCAGAATCAGCACCGTGTCCCTCTCGCTTTGTAACCTCTGATTGCAAGTTTGAACCTCCGCCTCTGTCGTATCTACGATTAGACGAAGATTATGTTGTAACTCGGGCATCGGAGTACTGTCCTCTACTGGCATCTGCTCAGCATTCAAATTCTCCAGATTAGTTAGCAACCTCGGTTGAGGACCTCGCATGTCGAGAACTGTCTGGTGAATAATCCCTCCGTTCTGTGCATCTTTCTCTGCTAACAGCTCCGCTGCAGTGCGGAGCTCTGTCTTCTTCTTCCCTTTATTCTTCTTCATCCATAGCTTTTCTTTAGACTTTGGCTTCTCCACCACAACGTCTTCATCTGGTTGCCGCATACCAGGGGGAGGAGGCAGTCCGGTTGCTGTTTCCCTAAATTCATTGAATCCCATACCCATGTTCTTGGGTCGTAGTTTGGCTTCAATTGGTTGCGCAATACCTTGTTCATTCTTCCCCAGACCTCCTCCTTTGTAACCCATCTTTTCTAGCAACTTGGACCCAATTCCTCTAGTGAACATTTCAAAAGTAGGAACAGAACCTGTGCCTCCACTTGCCAAGGACCTCGACTTCGTGGCAGCCTTCTTTCCCTTTTCTCTCTCTAATTCTCTCCGCTCTGCTCCTTCTTTGATCCTCCTCCCAAATGCTGTTGGGAGCAATTCCTCCTCTTCAACATTTTCCTCCTGTTTAATGTTTCCTTTCGCGCCAAATCCTAGTCCAGTAGCGGATCCCAGAACAGCGGTTCCAAACCCTAATCCGGCCCCAACAGGAGCCACTTGCTCCTCTTTCTCCTCCTTTTCAATCTCTTCCGACGGCATAACTGTACCCGTCGATACGAAACTCACGGGTTTTGTTAGGTCACTCTTCTTGTTATCCCCCCGACGCCTCTTCTTCCCTGGCTCTTCATAATCAGAATCACTGTCATCAACCCCATACAGTGCCTCCTCCTTAGTCTGTCGCTTCTTTGCTTTCGGTTTGCGGGCAAAGAAGTCACCCCCAATCCAGATCCCATCTTCGTACTCATTATCCATGCTAAACCGCTCATAATGCTGATACTCGTCCATCTTATCAAGCTTTAGGGCACAATCAACCCTCAAGGCAGGTGTAAGAATCCCAGTTAAAAATCTACAGCGATCACACCGCAAGTCTCACTACAAATGAATCTCAGGTGAACCGACTAGTGAAGCCAGTCCAAGGAAAGCCTAAACCTACAGGCACATGTATCCTCCACACAAATATCCATTCCATGCTAATAATTTGCCGAAATGGTCGACATATGGCCCAAAACCACCACTAGAAAGAAACAGACATGTTACAGCGCGTCAATTAAAAACCACCTATGCAACCCTAAAATGACTTGAGCTCAAATCTCCAGCCTAATCGCTTAACCACCCGCCACTTGCGCCTAGCAAACCACAAGCCAAAATTCTGCTCCTCTCCACAGTACAGCATCACAAAGAATTCAAGCACCGCTCTCAATTACATCGAAAAACAGATCCTCAACTCAATTCTACTAATTCACTCGAAACCACACGCTGATAAGACATCAAGCCCTAGAACTCCAATGATCGATCAGATTCCGCGACAACGCAACAAGACTATTTAACAGCGTTCCCAATCGAGGAGGCAGCGACTACCTCCTCGATCTCATTCCACCACCAGACCGATTCAAGAAACCGCGAGATGATTGGAGATTGGGAGGCAAGCAAAGAGCGGGGACGCCTGCAGACAGGCCCGACCTAGCAATTGAGGGTGTGGTTGCCGAAGCTTTTTCATAGATTTGTTCATATCTAGCTTATGAGGGATATAAATTGTAAGATCTATTCATATTTAGATACGTCTGCGCTTCAATTGGAATTGGTCTAAGTGACGTGATTTGTTACATACTGCTCCGTCGGTGGGTACCACATAATTGCAAACTTAGCGACCTACAAGTCCCTGGAAGTTGGTGAGTACATATTTTCTATGAAATTCCAATATTACATCGAAAAATATTTTTCATTCATTTTTTGTTCAATATAAATTCTAAAAATAAAAAATAAAAATTTCTTGAAATCCTAATCAACCTAAAAATTAAATAATAGTTTCATTTAACAAGTCTAAAATTATTGTTCAAATTTCAAGAGAATTTTAACTTTTTACAATAAATTGCTTTTTAATAAAGAAGATATGTATTTCTTGTAAATATCCTATTTAACATCAAATTATTCTCTAAATTCTTTGAAAAAAATTACTAAAATATAATTGTAAAATTAAGACTTAAATTTAGTAAAGTTATTCTTTACAACATATTATTTTTTAATATTAAATTTAATTTTTTAATTACATAAACCAAAAAAACTAATAAGACTTTTATTATGTGTGTCAAGTTATTAAAGTTTCAATAAAGGTTATTTTAAGGCATGTATTATTTGTTAATTATTATTGAATAATATATATATCTTCTTTCATATTTACTCAATAGTGCCTATTTTAAACAAAGGCCACATCAAAAAATACATATAATTCTTTTTAAATATGACTGATTATACTTTTATAATTTATAATTTGTATATAATTCTATTTTATATATATCACAAAATATTTGCCATATCTTTAAGCAATGTGATGTAATAATATTTTTCTTCCTATTGATAGACCAAATTTTTAATATATATTATTTTTTACAATAGACATATATATTTATTCTAATAATTATCTGGATAATATGAGTAAATAGAAGTAAAAGTAGATATATTTGATAATACCATATAGAAAAGCTTTTTAAAAGCTTTGTAGACACAACTTTGCTTTTATCCGTGTCTATATGTAATTGATAGATTGAAAACTAAGTCAACAACTTGGCCACACATTGCACATGTTAAGCATGAGTGGTAAAAGTTAGGTATATGGCATACATATAGGAAGCTTATTTAGCAAATTAGACTCATGACTTGCAAGTTAAACATGTTGTAGAGGTCTTATAGAATATTGCCATGTAGATCCTAATTATATAGTATGTATAGAAGCAAAATAAGGCCTCCTTCACTCTTCTCAACTTGTTTCTTGCTTATGGTTTAGTTTCAAAAGTCTCTAGTTTTCTTATCTTTTGGCAAAAGTTATTCTAGTTTCTTCTTAAATATAAATTTTTACTTATTTATTTTTTGTTGTATTTTTTTGAAAAACATCTCAATTCTTTATTTATATTCCTTGAGTTCTTATCCTTAATACTCATTTCACTATATAATATATATAGCATTCTATCCTATAAAATTGTTTATGTTATGTAATTATTTTTAATAACTATAAGGTTTCCACAACTTTTTGAAATACGTAAATTTTAAAAACTTGGTTCTTAGGTCTTTACGAATTTTAGAGTAATCATCTTTTTAGTAAGTAAAATAATATTTTTATTTTAATTAATTAATTTTTTATATTTTTATGTAATATATTGGGCTGGAAATACAATTTAAACCTTTTAGATGTGGTTGCTTGTTTTCAATTTTTTGATCTTCTTTAACTTTGTAGTTTTCAACTTAATATTCTTTATTGAAACTACTTGCTCTAAAAATTACATGTCTTATTTTTATGTATATTTATTTTAATTTTATAAATTATCATTATTAGTATTATTAATATTTTATTTATTTTATATCATTTTTTTGCTACAATCAAGCAATGTTTGAAAGTTAACAAATATTTTCTTAGTATAAGTAATAATAAATTCTATTATTTTTTTATCTTTGATTAGAAATTACATTATTAAAATTTGATATATTTATTTGGATTAAATAGAGCATGTATTAAACAATTCTTTGAGCTTAGGATTGTTCATGGATCTCATTAATAGATAATAAGTGTGGTTAGATTGCATGTTGGTCACCATTTGTGATTACTTGAAGATGTTTTGAATTTTAAATTATTTTTCTATCAAAACTTAGTGTCTTAACTTTTGATATGTATTTTCTTCTTTTGCAATGTGAATTAGACATAAACTCTTGACTTTCAATTACAATTTTTTTCTTTGTCCACCACTCTCTTGCTCCTATACAATCTAAATTGTTTATACATCTAAGGATTGCTTCTAAGATGTAAAAACCAATGCTATGCTATATAAATTGCTTAGATCATGTATCAAAGAGCCATGCAATTTACGCTCTTGTATAAGAATAATGTCACATTTTAGAGAGATATTCTTAGTATAGCTTTGTAATTTTAGTATTTTTTAAGGATTTTTGATATCCTTCACATTATAAGATAAAATCATTAGTTTAATAAAATATTATATGAATAAAAAGGACCATGAGAATCTTTGATAACTAATTTTTGTCTAAAAGTTCTAATTCTAATTTGAACTTATGAATAAGAGTATATTTTATTCATCCTTATTAAATCATGAGAACTTGTAGTAATAAGATCACTTGAGCTATCTACCATATCTTTCATCATATTTGAATTAACATCAAAAAGAATAGGATCAAATACTTGGTTTGAAGGGACATTTATTTGTTTATAAAAAGGGAATCTAGTACCTTGTAGAATGTTGAGATGAGGTTTGAAGGTTCTATCTTTATATCTACAAGAGCAATGATCATATCATAATAATAGCCTCTAATTTTGACAATGTTCAAGGATTATATGTAATATTTTGTATGACTAGTACTCTATCCAAATAAACTTTCATTATACTTGGAAAACAAAGCTCTTGAGTGTTGATTATTGTGATAGCATGGTATCAAAGACAAGAACATAATAAAGACAAATAACCAAGTGAAACTTCTTTCAAAGAAATATGACAAAATAAAAATAACTTGATATGTATATTAAGAAAGAAACTGGAATGGCTATTGCCAAAAGCCAAGAAAACTAGAGACCCTTGAAACTAGACTGAAAGCAAGAAAGGAGTTGACAAGAGTGAAGAAAGCTTCACTCTTATCTCTATATATACTATCTAACTAAGGGCTACGTGGCGATGTTCTATAGGACCTCCAATATGTATTGGCTTTGTAGGACACTTGTCTTGACTTACATGGCAAGTTTTTCTACGTGTGGGCCACATTGTTAGCTTGATCTTCAAGCTAACAACATGTGTTGTACATCGCCAACTTATTAACCACGTTTCTAATCCCAAAAAGTCAATTAAAGACACTTATAAAGTCAAAGCAACATCTATAAAGCTTCTAGGAAGCTTCTATACAAAATACTATAGAATTAATTTAATTTTATCTACTTTTACTTACTTCTATATGTTTATACATGTAATTATTGCTTTACATCAGTATGTCTATGATATTACCCCCCCCCCTTCTAGTGACGAGTTCCACAAGGAGCGGTAATTATATGTTGATGAAATCTATGATGGGTCGAATTATATTTGCCACATACTCTGATCTTTATTCTCTTCAAAGATGATTGATAGGGCCTCTCAACCATCGATAGTATCCCATATCAGGGCAAAAAGACTATCCAGTTATTTAATCATTATTGAGGCCTTCATAACTTCCTTCGAATAAAATATTTGGAACACCATCAAGAATTTTTCCTACCTCTAATAAAATCACCAAACATCAGGAATTCCTTTCCAAATCATGGTACCAAATGCATTGTATCTCGCCATCTATTTGAGGAAGAACATATCATTCTTGAAGATCTTCATCTTGATTGCGACGTCTTAAAGGGTGTGATAATCCTAATATCTTGTCCGGCACGTCAACAAACGAAGGCTCTTAAGTCAAATCCACTGGTTGTTGATTCTCCATCTATTGAGCGTCACAACTACAAAGAAGCTACGAACAAGAATTGAAAGTAGAATGTTATCTTACCTAGATCTTGTTTCTTTTATAAAGAAGGTTTTCATCTAGATTTTCATGGATGTCATTGATGAAAAGCCTCCACCGCCTTTACTGCATTTGCAACATTCTTTACTAGCTCCCATATGTGTTCACTAATATCATATCCGTGCTAATGGACAAGATATTTCAATTTATTTTGGCGCTGCTTTGAATCTAAGACTTCTTCCACTTCAAACTCTTCATTATTATCCACTTCTATAGGAGGAGGTGGAACTTGTCTTCTTCTTGGTATGTCCACTGTCTTGTATGGTTCAAGAAGAGACACGTGGAATACTGGAGGGATTTTTATTGACTCCAGTAGATGTAAACGATATGCAACTGGATTGATTTATGTAGAAATAGAAAATAGTCCAAGCCTTTAATAGTCCAACTTATCACAAGGACGAGTGGTCTTGATATTGCAACAAAGTAATCATACCTTATCACCCATGTGGAATGGTGGTTGTTCCTTTCAATAGACATTTGTATTGATCTTTTGTTGTTCTTCAGCTTCTTTTAACTACGCCTTCATCATTGCATGTAGCTCTGACAAATAAATTCTTAAATCTTTCGCAACAGGATTATCAAATTTTGAAAAGTCAAAAGTATCAAGTCATGGATGATAACCATAATTGACAAAGAAAGGTGTTTATTTTGTAGAAGAATGTACCGTGTTATTGTAAGAAAACTTTGCCAATGGCAAAAGAATTGTCTAATCATCTTGTTGATAGTTAATAGTACATCTTAAATATTGCTCCAAAACTTGATTAACACGCTCTGTTTGTCTATCAGTTTGAGGATGGAATGTCGAAGATAGTTTTATATCCACTATTAGAATCTTTAAAAGAATCCGCCAAAATCTTGATACAAATTGAGTTCTCTTATAAGATATAATATCCTTGGATAATCCATGATAGTGATAG